AAAAGTTGTGGTTAATAAATGACAAATAACCTTTTGTCTCATTGCGCTCCCACCCTGCGATACCCAAAATGAAAATATAGGGGGGGGGAAGGGGGGGAATATAGAGAAAGTCACTACCAAAATCTCACCAAGCAGCTGAAAGGATGCCCCAGCCCTTTGCCTTCGAAGAACAGTGAGCAGCACGGCACCAAAAGCAAAGCTGGGGATGTGCTGCTCGCCCTGCTCCGCAGTGAAAGTCTGCGGTGGGTTTCGGTGCGGCTCCAGGCACCTTTGGGTGATGCTTTGCCTTTCCCAAGGGAATCGCAGTACAACCAAACCCCCCAGCTCTTCCCCCATAGCAGGTTTCCTGGTTTCAGCCTGGGGATGCCAGGAGAAGGATGAGGTCCCTTGGGGATGCAACCCAAGGGGATGCCAGGAGAGGGATGCAGCTCTCTGGCCACCCACTGTCCAGCCGCCAAGGGATGATGCAACAGGGTTGCTCTTGGATAGAGGAACAAGGCAGCAAATCCCAGCCTGGGATCAACATTTTCATGACAACAAAGAGAGAAAATGAGATGCCGTGCAGCCGGCTTGCCCCTGGGCAAACCATGGGGACAAGGGTAGGAGCACACGTGGTCCAGTCTGCTCCAGCTCACAGGATGGAGGACACCAAATGGGATCCAGATCGACACAAACATGCTCTTCCCTGGGCCACGCGATGACGGGACGCTGAGATGCTTCCCATCAGTACAAAGCCTTTCTCATGAGGTACCCGTTGCCTGCAGGCAGTGGGTACCCTGCTCATGGTGGCCTTGGGAAGAAAAGACCATTTTGCATTGGTTGTTTTTGTGGGAATAGAGGAATGAAGGAGCTGACGGTGCTGCAGCAGCAACCAGGGCATTTGTGCATCAAACTGGGCACATCCAGTTTGTAAGCACAATTGTAGGTCACTAGTAAGAGGAAACATGTTTTGGATTGGAAGCAAAGTGTTGTGCTGCAAAAGACAGGGATTGCTCAAATCCCTGCCTGGGATAGGGATGCAAACACAGCTGCTGCTGGGATCCAGGCTTCCCATAATGTGGCCTCTCCATCCCTGAGGGCATCTCCCCCTCCACCATTGCCTCTCCACACATCCTCACTGAATGAACTCCAATTGCTCCTGGAGGTCCAAAGCAGCTCGAGGAGGAGCTGGAATGGGGATGGGGAGCTCAGCACCAGGATGACCCTCACCCTACGCCTGGTCCCAGGCACTGCGAATGGGAGCCGAGCGGTGCAGGACCTGATGCTCAGGAGGCGGCAGTTCTCAGAAACCAGCTTCAGGTGAAAGGAAGAGGAAAAAGAGAAAAGAGAAAAGAAGAGAAGAAAAAAAGGAAGTCAAAGCAGCCTCACGCTGAGCAGAGATAAAAATACTGCTCCTGCGGCCGCGGCTGCAGACGAGCCATGACACAGGCTCCGCGGGTTCTCTCCGGAAGGAGTCTTCCCGGCCTGTCTCGGCGTGCCATCGATTTACGGGATGCGCTGGATTTCATTAAAATGCTATAAAGCAAGCAGTGCAAATGCAAATCCCATTTCCCTTCCCCTTTCCTGTGAAAACATCTGGGCAACAGAAACGGCTCGGGAGGCTTCCGCTGCAAATCACGGTTTTCATGGAGCTCAGGGCTCGGCCATGTAAAAGGCACTTGGGGCTCAGCTGATGAAAGGGCAGCCCCGAACCCCTGCAGGTTGCCTTAAACTTGTGAAGCTGAAGAGGCCTCAGAGCTACCCAAACCTACAAGAGATACAGGAATAAATATCATGGTAGAGGAGAAAGTCCTTAGTGCCCCCATGGAAAGCAAGTGAGCATTGCCCTCCTACAGACATCAGAGAATCCACCTGGGCTGCACACATACGCCCATGCCCAGGGTTTCACTGGTTTTCCTGTGCACATCTCTATATACCCCCATATGTACAAGCACTACAGATACCCCGGTGCCCTAAGCCCAGTGGTGCCCTGCAGCCAGGCTGAGATGGGCTCCCAGGAGAGCTCCGCATCCAGGCATCTCCAAACCCCTCCTCTGCGACATCATTTTTCCAGCGCTTGAGGGAGGAAGGAACGATGCCAAAACCAATCCAGCAGCGGCTGCAAGCACGGGAATGTGAGCTGCTCCCTCTGCCCAAAACCCCATCCCATCCAGCTGAAGCTCCAGTGACATGACAGGGAATGGGATGCCCGCACGGGTGGCACCGGCTCTGCTCACTGACACTCACCCCTTCACCCAGCACAGCATTGGCCACCCAAGCAGTAAATGGGATTAGGGCCCTTCAAAGCACCCTGCTCCCTTTGATGCCAGACATGTTATGGGATTAGGCTCAGAGGCCCCATTGAAGTGCACCAGGGAGAAAGTAGAGGGAGGGAATAAGATAAAAGCTGCCAAAATGAGGGAGCAGAGGCCAAGCCATGGCCACTTCCCGCAGGCACCCTGCCCTTCCCAGGTCATTGCAAGGTGCTAAGTATTTGGAGGCCTGGCTTGATTCTCTAAAGCCATGAGCTTGAGCCGAATCTCCATTTACATTGTACTATCTAAAGGGTCTGGAGGTCTGTGGATGGGCAGTGGAAGGTGTCCCTGCCCATGGCAGGGGGGTGGAACTGGACGAGCTTTAAGGTCCCTTCCATCCCAAACCAGTGTGATCCTACGACCAACAGCATCACCAGATCAGGAGCAGATCCACAACACGGGCAGTGGCAAAGCCCTGTGAGCACCGTGGGGCAGAGCATGGAGGGGAGGGGGCTCCCTGCATCCTTCCCTAGTATTTATTTGCAAGGAAAAAGAAAGCAAAAGTAAATCACCACCGAGCTGCTCTGCTCCCACTCCTCTCTTTGCCTCTTGATAGGTTTGGGAAGCGGGGACCCACCAGCACCGTGGGGGCTTTCCAGCACCCCCAGAGTTCAACTACACTTGGTGGAAAAGGGGCTGGACTGAGTGTGCTGTAAAGGAGAGAGGATCTGGCCCTGGCCCAGTTAATTCAAGAGGAAGGACCCACCCTGAGAGTATTTGCACAGGAAGCAATTTACTGCGGAGACTCGTGAAATCCAGGGAGGAACATCCCCCCTTCCACAGACCTGGCTGAGAAACAGGGTCCCCGGCCTCACGGGGATGGGATCTCACCAGGAAATCTCTGCAGGATGGAGACTTGGAGTGCACTGCAAGGAATAACGCTGCAGAGCACTGGGTGAACTTGCAAATGGTTTGTTTTAAATGCCTCCTGCCCGTGGGTCAAAGGAACTGGGAGGAAGAATGTGCTGTGTGCTGGGCTTGCTTCCCAAGCAAAGTGGATGGGGGGAAATAGAGAAAAAAGGGGGGGGGAAAGGGAAAAAAGAAAGGCAAAAAGCAGTGTTTGTAAGCACCAGGTTCTGTGGGCAGGCAGCACACAGTGGGATGCTTGTCCTCTGGGTGGTGGGGGGCATAAGTGGGTGCCCAGGAAGGCCCTGCGTGCTGAGGACCCTGTGAAGGGGAGCATCCCCTTGCTTGGCTTTAGTTTTGGCTCTTGCAAAGCCCCAAGGGCAGGTCTGGCAAAGCCACTGAGGATGTGGAGGAGCAAAGCTGGCAGCAATGCATGAAATAACATCAGGTACCTCCTCCCCACTGGCCAGGCTGGTCCCTGCGGCATGGTCCGACATGCCCAGTGCCATCCTGGTGAGCGGGGGTATGGACCACACCAGCATCCAGTGATGCTGCCCAGGAGCATCCTCAAAGCACCCCAAAGTGATGCTGTTCAGAGCCAGACCTCCCCATGGCCGGGGATGGGGACACACACTCCTATGCAACCTAACAACATGATGGAGCAAAACCAGCTCTTACTTCCAGACTGTGCAATTTTGGTGGTTTTTCCTTATTTTTTTCTTTCTAATATTTAATATTGGAGCCATTTGACAGAAACAGCAGGAATTCAACCAGCTGCTCCCTGGCCCCACTGCCACAGTGAGCAGCAAACACAGCCCAGAGGCAGGGACAAAGCTCCAGCCCCAGCTGAGGTTTCCTCCTTCTGAAGCACAAGTTTAGTCATCAGAGTTAAACAAGCACAGAAAAAAAAAGGGGAGAAGAGGGAAAACGCAGCCCATGCTGCCTGCGTGGGACCTGCCATGGGGAGGAACTGCCTTTTGAAAGGTTAAACCCCCCCAGCTCCCCCTGCATCGCTCCCTGTTCGCTCACATCCTGCATCATCTCCGCTCCAGCCAGCCTCTAAGCACCACGGGAGCTCCCTGGCGTAGCCAAGAGCTGAATTTTGAGCTACAGAAGTACTTACGAACCTAAAATTAACTTCCCTTACAGGTCCCATGGGGAGCAGAGGAAGACTTTTCCCCTTCCTTTCCCAGCTTGCCCAGGCGAGCCAATGCCTTGGCTGCTGAAGCCACAGCAAACCAGAGGCAGGGTGAATTTGGGGTGTGCCAAACCCTTGTTGGGATGGCTCTGTGGGACTGGGGATGAGCGGGATGGAGGCCACCAGGCTCTATCCTCATCTCACAAGGCAGATGCTGGAAAACCCAGGTTTGGGGTGCTAGCAGGGAGAAACACAATTGCACCTTGACTGACTGTGATAATCAGTGCACAAATCGCCCTCAGCACATGGTCACAGCAACGTCCATCCCCCAAACACAGGTTCTCCTTCTCAGAGGTCTTAAATAAACTGAGTCCAGCCTTGCGAGGCTCCAAATGAGGGAGAGCAGCAGCAGAGCAAACCCATCTGGGTGCTGGGCTCGTGCCCAGATGCTGCTCATGGTGACAAACCCTTGTGGTCAGGGATGCAGCACGGTCCTGCTCCTCTCACTGGACATGCTGGTACCCTGGCATCATCCCCAGCCCTCAGCATCATCCCCAACCAGCACCATCATCCCCAACCCACAGCACCATCCCCAGCCCTCAGCACCATCCCCAGCCCCTCAGCACCATCCCCAGCCCCTCAGCACCATCCCCAGCCCTCAGCATCATCCCCAGCCCTCAGCATCACCCAGCTGACAGGGGCAGGAACCAGCAGGTCCTTACCTTGGGTGGGTCGAAGAGCTCCAGCACGTACTCCTCGCCATCAGACGTCCCCGCTCGCCGCAGCACCAGGCGGCAGCGCTGCCAGTGCGTCCCACTGTCCAAGGAGCTCTCATCCAGCAGCCCGTACTTGAGGACCCCCTCCTTGCGCACCTCGGGGGGCTGCTCCCGCGACAGCCCCCACGGCAGGATGCGCTTCCCCAGTCCCGGCTTCAGCGCTGCCTCCGCCGCGTCCCCATCCCCATCCGCAGGGAGAGCATCCGAGGACCGGCGTCGGAAGAGGCTGCGCCAGCTCCTGCGCAGCTGGCTGAGCGAGAAAGGCCTCCGTGCCGGCCCCAGCAGCTCCTCCGAGCTCCAGGACTTGCGGAGCCCTGATGGGGTGGCTTCGGGAGCTCGGCCGGGGGGCTCAGAGCCTGCATCCGCCTCGGCTTTGGTGGCCACCGGGCCCAAGGAGGCATCCGTGTGGCGCCGGTGTGTCTCCCGGTAATCCCGCGCGGGGCCGGAGGGCAGGATGCGGAGCTGGTTCATGGCGAATCCCTCCTTCACCTCATGGCAGAAGTACTGCTGGAAGAGGTCGGTGAACTGCACCGAGAAGTTCTCCGCGGCCAGGAGGTCATGGTGCGGGTGCTCGGTGGCGAAGCGCAGGTAGTGCCGCGCCAGCTCCTTGGCCGTGCTGATGGCGTGCAGCTCGCAGAACTCATGCCAGCCCCGGGGATGCGCTGGCGTGCCGGCCGGCAGAGCGTGCCCATTCATTGCCGTGGCTCCAGCGAGGCGGATGCGCTGCAAGACAGAGCACACCAGCGGGGTCAAGGGAGCCCCAGTGCCCTGATGCCTCCCTCCTGTCCCAGCAACCCGCGGCCAGTGTGGCCATACACCAGTCCCAACACGTACCACAGGGCAAAGAGCCTGGGGAGCACCGTGGTTGGCTTGGTGCCCATCAAAGCCACTTCATTCACCAGGGTAGAGCATGGGATATGCTGCAGCCAGTCTGGGGACAGCCAGCTTCCCGGTGAGTGGCACAGTGGAACCACTATGGCTCAGTGCCCAGCCATGCCAGACAGGACTTGGAGCACCCAGCCCTGCCGCAGCACCTTGCATAGAATCATAAATCACAGAATGGTTTGGGTTGGAAAGGTCCTAAAGATTATCTAGCCCTAACCCCCTGCCATGGGCAGGGACACCTTACACTAGACCACGTTACTCTGTTCAACCTGGCCTTGAACACTGCCAGGGCTGGAGCTTTCACCACTTCTCTGGGCACCCTGTGCCAGCACCTCACTACCCTCACAGTAAAGAACTTCTTCCTTATATCCAGCCTGAACCTCCCCTGTTTCAGTTTGAATCCATCACCCCTTGTCCTATTGCTGCAGTCCCTGATGAAGAGTCCCTCCCCAGCATCCCCATCCCCACCTGGCAGGGCCGTGCCTCAGTTTCCCCACCTGCGAGGTGGGGTGCAGGCAGGTCCCAGAGCAGGGTGTCTATGGGGCTTCCTGCCAGCACAGCTGCCTGCAGCGGGGACGCCCGCCCGGGCCACATCCGCTCAGCTCCTGCCAAGGCTTCGCAGCGCTGATGGGTTTCCCTCTAGGGACCTGTTTCAATGCAGCTGATAAAACCGGAGTGGGGGCGGGAGGGGAGGGAACGGCAGGAAAAGCTGCAGGAATCCAGGGACAGAGCTGCCAGATCCCTGCGGCTGGAGGAGGGGGGGATACGGCCACGCCGCCGGCACTGCCAGCCATGAGCATGTGTCCCGGGGGAGATGCTCGGCTGCCCATGGACCATCAGGCTCTGGCAAACCACGCCATATCTGTGCCGGGAGCAGATTTTGGTGCGAGGCCAATCTGACGGCACCCACGGTCGCACTGGTGTGCGTGGCTGAGCCCGGCAGCGGTGCTCCCCATGGGCTGCTTGCTGCTGAACCTTGTGCTCGGCGCCGCACTTATCGGGGCCATGCACTCTGCTCAGGCAGGAAACATCGGCCAACCCAGCCGGATTCTGCTACAGCAGCACAGGCACCACCACCACCATCACCACCACCGCCTCCCCGAAACGGCAGGCACCCGGCAGCGCCGGGCTGCTGGGAGGGGAGGAAAAGTGATTGCATTGGTCACGGGGAGGGAGAATCGAGTAGAAAACCCAAGGGTCGGGTGGAAGCGAGCGTGGCGACGGGGAGCGTGCGGCAATGGTGGAGCTTGTTTGCAGGCAGGGAGGTGATAATGCCGGGAAGCCAACCTCTATCTCTGCCCACCCGCCGCCCTTCCTAGTACGTACCGTGAGGTTTCTCAGCGAGGGGAGATGTTATCTGCCCCCCGCCAGCCCCGGCTTCCCAGAAGAGCCACCCGAGGCTCAGGGCCGGCGCTGGGCATGCGCCCGGCCGTGGCCTGGCCGAACACCCCGGCGGGGCCCCGTCTATCAGCGCCGCCAGCCTGCCCTGACTCAGCACCCTCCCGCTTCCTCCCGGCACCCGGGAATCGCCGCCACAGCCGCCGGCACGCTCCGTGGGATGCTCCCTCAAAGCGCTGAAGGAAGCGGGGCACCCGCACCCATGACTCCTCAGACATGGGGGGAGATTCCCAAAGCAGGGAATCCGCTTTCCAAGGTTTGGGGCTTGCGCCACACCGGCTTTGGGAATGGTTTCCAGCATGGGAATAGCTGGGCTTCGCCTGAGCCACGCGGTGGAAGCAGCCAGAGGTCGTCTCCGGTAGCAACGTGCTTTTCCAACTGGATTGACAATGGGAACTACATCCCCAGCACTTCCTCCTGCCAGCACAAACTGCAACGCTGTCCTCCCTGCTCCTACCAGGTGTACTTCCCATGTGGAAACAGCTCTCCGGGATGAATCCATGCTTGAGCTACTGCAGCAGCATCCCGCTCCTCCACCTGGCTCCATGGGACATGCCACAGGGATGTGAGTGCCTGCTGATGGATGGGTTTCTCCCTGCTCCAGCCCACAATGCCTGAATTCTGCATCCAGTGGCTTGAAAGCAGAATATACATCCACATCCCTTATACCTGATACGCTCCTACAAGAGGCTCCTGGTCATCCTGCAGGCCAGCTCCGAGCCAAGGGGCTTGTCACTGTCGTGGCTGACATCCTTCCCAAGCACTGGAGGAGCCATGCATCACCCAGCCCGCCCCATCTCGGGGCTGTTTTGGGGTGCTGGTCCCGGAGCTCCAGGAAGAGCGGGGCGGGACAGGACAGACCGGCCATGGGTTGACTTTGATGCGGGTTGGGATGGCAAGCCCTGGCTTGTGCAGGATCCAGCCCGGCAGCAGAGCCACCCCTGGAGATTCCATTAAACTCTTGCTCAACCTTGTGAGTGTCTCTGCGGCAGGGTCGGATCCGGCAATGGGTTATTTGTGCCTTTGTGATGCTGGAAGGACGAGGTTCAGAACCAGCAATGCCATGGAGGAGCTGCGGGATCCATCCCACCGCCTTCCCAGCACAGCACAGCCATGCAGGGGGCCATGGCTGAATGGGAAGAGCACCCTACAGCACCCAGCACTGCAAACCCAGCCTCAGCCCAAACTCAGTCCACGGCGCTGAGCAAACTCAGCTCCTGCTTGTGCACAGGCAGCCCCGGAGCATGTGCAGCCACGATCCGAAAATGAAAGCAGCCCCAGCCCTAGAGCCGTGGGTCTCCACGCCAGCAGCACAAGTAGGAACTGTGATTGATGCGATTGATGTGCCGGCTCTCCCAGAAACTACTGTTCCCAATCCGGAGGAGAAGCGGCCAGCGGCGTTTTCAGCCCCTTTTTAGAAGCATGAGGCTATTCAGCACTCACCCCCAGCACTATTTTGAGGAGGGAGCAAAGCGAGGGGCTGGGAGACGCCCTCGCCAGCCCCATAGCTCCCTGCTTGCCGAGTGGCAGAAATACAGAGTTCCCACAATCCCAAGAGCAGGAACATTGTTCCTTCCCAGGATGTCCTCCATGAAAAGAGCTATTCTGAGCCGGCAGCAGCCTGTCTTGGCACAGCCCCGCACCCTGCTAGCGAGGCAGCTATAAAAGGCTGAGTTACAATGAACAGCACTTTTCAATGGGAGAGCATCCGGTGCGGGGGACTCAGGGGGATGCAGGTCCTTGGGGGGGTTCAGAGGGATGCAGGTCCCCAGGGGATCCAGCCTGACACGGATGGGCTCACAAGGGCTGGGTGGTGCAGAGCATCCCCCCAGGAGGGTGCTGGTGGAGCCTTTCTCTGCATCCCAATCCCCTGGGGACCAGGGTGGCGGATGCTGGAGTCTTGGCTGGATGTAACACTGGGATGAGAGTGCACAAAGGGACCATTTGGGGGTGGAGATGCAGCCCCTCAGCAAGGCAGGAGGGGCTGGTGCAGGGGGAGAGGTGGGAAAGGGTTTGGCTGCAGCCTCCTGATGTAGAATGAGGGTGGGGACAGAGGGGACCATCCCAGTTTCACCCTCCTCCAAGCTGGATCACAGCATGACGCAGAGCAGCATGGCCATGGAAAGCCCCATGAAGTCTTATTGCTGCCCTTTAGTCAAGCTGCTTCTTCCTTCCAGCAGCCCATGCACCCAGGGCATGGGGACTCCAAAGGAGGCAAGGAGGGTGACAGGGCGCTCCAAAACAGCACCTCTATATTTACAGCATCCCTATAAAGCAGCCAAGGCCAGCAGAATCCACAGCAGGAACTGCCCAGCACTGCCCTGCTCTGCTCTCTAGGAGCAGCTCCTCGTGGCGGTGTGGATTATCTGGGGTCTTATATAGGGCGATGGCACAGCACCATCACTCCCTGCAACCCAGTGGCTGTTTCCACACAACTTGGAGGACCCCTGGGTGTCTTAGGACCTTCCTCCCCTCTCTTCTGTGGCTGAAGCAAACCCACAAATCAAAGAGCAGCAGAGGAGCAGGTTAGAGAGATTCCTCCATCACATCCCCACAGGGGCTGTGTTTTCTGAGGAAATCAGGTTAAAAGCCAGGAGGAGGTTGGGGGCCCTTGATTTGCTCTCCTGCCCCCCCCTTTCTTGCAGGCCATGCACACCCCTCTCATTTGACACAACTTGCTCTGTTGAAGGCCAAGGCTGGCCTTAATTTACATCTCAATGGGCTGAGCAGCACCACAGACCTCTGGGGACACAGATGGTTTAGATCCAGACGGATTCCACCCATGTGGCTTCCCCTGATCACTCCACTGGACAGACAGGATGGACACAGTCCATCCCAAACCCACCTTGGGTCAAATGCAAGCTCCACGTTCACTCGACCTACAGGAGCTCACCAGGATGAGCTGCTGCGGCTGATCCCTAGAAAGCCTCTGCCTGCCCCTGTGCACCCGAGCGCCCATCACCGTGGCGTCTGGCACCCGGCAGCCTGGTTTATACCATGACCTACCATTTATACCATGTAGGTATACCATACCTACACCTGCTGCCTGGGGGGTAAAGCCCAGCCAGGGGGTGACCTCATGGGGTGACAGGGTTTGTTTTGCTGCACTAAATGAATCTCTGTGGTGCAGGCGTGGGAGAACCCGGGTGCAGGGAGTGCTCCCATGGGAGCGGCTGATAGAGGTCCCTGGGGAGCAGCTCAGCCCCGGCTCTCCCTCCCCACTGCAGCAGCATCCGCAGGGCTGGATTGAGCCCTTCCTCCTCGCCAAGCCGCGGCAGGACCACAAACCCCGCCAGCGCTGAGCTCTTGCACTTTCGCTTTGTCTCACCCGCTGCGATTTATCCCCATGCCTTTGTGGTGCCCATCAGCCCCCGGCAGCCCCAGGGGTGTGGGGCCGGGGGGGGGGGTGCTCTGGATGAATAGGATGTACGACCCCTCAG